AACTGAAAAATTTTCACTAATAAAAAAAAAATGTTTTTTAGGATTTATCTCTTTTATAAAAAGAAATTTCAGTCTTTTTAGAACTGAAAAATGTTTCTTTTTAATAAAGAGAAAACTTTTCAGGTTTTTTAAATTTAAATTACATTTTTTTATTAAAAAAAAACTTTTCAGATCTTTTTTAGGTCTGAATTATATTTTTTTTTTATTAAAAACAAACTTTTCAAATTTTTTATTAAAATTGAAAATGTAGCTCTTTAATAATGAAAATCAATCAGTTTTTTTTTAAAACTAAAAACATTAAAAAAAACGTTTTTGGTTGTTTTTAAAACTGAAATAAGTTTTCTTTAATGTTTTTTTATTTCAAATTTGAAATCATCAGATTTAGATCTGAATTTATTGGATTCAGATTGAATTTAGATTTGAATTCTTCAGATTTGAATTTGGATTTGATCTGATCCATTAGATTAAGATCAAATTTGGATTTGAGTTTATCAATACAGATCAGATCAGATTTAGTTTAAATTTTATCTAATTCAGTCTATATAAAATACTATGTAAAACTTAAAAATGCTTATTAATTTTTTGCTCTTCTTGCTCTTCTTATTCTTTCTACTTTTAACTTATCAAATAGTTAGTTTATTAAAAAAACTTGATACTTTATATACTTTTTAAAATATATTTCAAAAAATTTTTGGTTTTTTTTTTAAAAAAATAGTAAAAAAAAAACTATTTAGAAACATTTGAAAATCTTTACACAAAATTCAGTCAAAAATAATAATATTAAACTAAGTTTATATCTTTTTATAAAATACAATTATTGTTTTAAAGTTTTTAACAGTGCTGTTTCTTTAAAAATACAAGTTTATCTTAATAATGAGTATTTAAATGTATCAAGTAATGTTAAATCTATTCTAATACAAAATATTTTACCTCCTATTATAGAACAACTTTCAACTCATACAAATACACCTTTTCATGTAATAAATAGACCTAAAAAATAAATTAAGTTAGATAATTTTGTTAATAGTATTGCCCAAATGAAAATGAGATACAACAAATCACATGACCAGAAATGTAATACAAAATGCATGATTAATATTCATCATAATTGCAGAAACGATTTCATAATAGAAATGTAATCATAAATTGAAATGTTAATCAATGAAATTAGTATTATATGATATAATATGCTACATCTAAAAATTATAAGTAAATTTAGTAATTATGAAAAGATATTAAATCATAGTTAGGCCATTAGTTATTCTTATATAGCCATGATGTAGTAACTATACAATGAAATATATATTAATAATTGTGCAATGATTAGATAGTTAAAGGCAATCCTTATGTAATAATTATCTAATATATCTATAATTTTGTATCAATTCAAAATGTATAAATAGGATAAGTTGGAATTATTAAAGAGGAGGCGATCTAGAGAAGTAATTAATCTAGGAGAAATATAACGTGAAAAATTAGTATTGATGATTATACAATCACTTATAATGTAATAATATTTTAATAAAATACATTCTTTATATTTAACAAAATTATTATTTTATTTATTTCTCATAATGTTTGTGTAATCCACTTATGTGTTACCTCTATCATGGTTTATTGAGTCTTCATACTTAAATGAATCATCATGTGATTCAGCTTAAAAAAATCATGATGAATTTATAATTCTTGACAACAGGTGGCAGTAGTAATCAAGGATATTTCATCAAATCAACTGAAAATTTGTAACATAATAAACTCAACCTCTTACCTAAAAATAAAACATTCTATTTTTTAGGTAATAATAGCATAAAAGAAAAAGAATAAGAGTCTCTTGAATTTTTACTAGTACAGGTATTATATTTAGCTAAAGTGCTATTTACTTTTATTAAGAATTTATTTGTTATTCAATTTTTTAAATATATTAAACCATCTTTTAAGTTTTCAAATAGGAGAAAGATTGCTATAAATTATTAAATAAAGTTTATGAAAATATAAAAATCCAAGCAGATGAATAAATCTCTAAAGCAATAACTTTTTGTATGATTTTTGATGACTAGTCTAATATTAATAAAGAATCAGTACATAATTTTGTTATATGTACTCCAAAACCTTTTTTTTTTGATACAACTTTTTCAAGAAAGAATCTCATACAGTAGAATAGATCTTAAATTAAATAATTCAACAAATATATATTATTAGTATTCAAAAATTTTTAGCAGTTATTACAGATACAACTAATATAATAAAAGCAGTATAAAGAAAAATTGAAGATAAATATTCTAATGTAATTTGTTTTAGATGTAACTCGTAAAATTAAAATATATTCAATTGAAAAATTATAACAAGGAGATTACATTAGTTTTACTAGTAATTACATAATAAAAAACACATTTTAGCTGCTTTTAATCACTTTAAAAATCAAGAATTGCTTTTAAACAATCATTAATAGGACCTTTAATTCACCAAAAAATAGATCAACAATGAAAAATAATATATTATCAGATGAATTTTGGCAAATGATAGAATTTATAGTACAAATTTTAAAGCCAATAGTTGCAACATTAAATCAGATATATCTACTCTTTCAACAGTTTATTCATATTATAGTAAATTAATAAAAATACTTGGTAAATTTTCATAAAATTTTCCTAAAAATATTTAACAACTTGTTCAAAAAAGATGTGAATATACATATCATTTTATTATGATAGTTGCTTATATATTGGATCTATATTTCTTAAAAAAAAGTTAAAATACAGTTTTAGAAGTAAATAGGTATTCTGTATTTACAACATTTACCAATAGTTGGTTTAATTAGAAAAAATCTTGAACTTGTAAAGTTTCGTTAAAAGCTTTACCATATGATAATGAAATAATTTAGATGTCATCATCTGCTCTTAGTTCTTTTATTTGGTGAAAATTATGGAAAAATAATGAACTACAATAATTAGCTATCAGAATTTTTTTTAATTCCTACATCATCTGTAACTGCAAAGAGAAATTATTTAACTTTTGGATTCATTTATAGCAAAATCTAAAATCAATTATATAATGATCATATTAAAAAGTTGGTTTATATCTATAGAAATCTCTAGATGTATGATGGATTCCAAAAAACAATATTATATAATGAAAACAAGAATACTACAAATTGTCAAAATAATAATTATAATAAAAGAGGTAATACAAATGATGATAATGAATTGTTAAATTTTGACAATAATATTTTCAGACTTGAATTAAACGTAATATATTTGACAAAATAAAATGGCTATTTTTAATATGTAATAAAGTCCATTTAATAATTTTCCGAATGATTTAAATAATTATTTTTATATTAAGGTTAATTAATGGTTAATTATTCAAATTTTAATTAACTGTTTTCTAGACATATCATTTATATATATTACACTACTCAAATTAAATGTTAATATTTTTTCTCAATAAACTTTAATTAGATGAGGGTTTAGGTGAGAATTAGATTGATATTAATATAATCATTAAGGGGACTTGAGTGTTATTAAAAGATGATAGTGGTGGTTACAATCATTGCAACTAATTTATTATTAAGAAAAATGGTGTTTATCACCATCTGTCATTCTAGTTTAGCATTAATGATATTAAACTTGTATTTTTTTTATTGTTTCTTAGAGAATCATTATCATTGTCAATAACAAAAAAAACAGTTTACCAACAGCAATTGCAAATAAGTAAAATTATATTCTCTTTGGATGGATAAAAGTGACTTTTTAATGATTTGGATCTTTTTGGTTTCTAATTGCAGAGAAATAATGATTTATCAAGATCACTATCATCACTACCAAAGGAAATTGATGAGGATGAAGATGATAAAATAGTATAATCATTGTTTGTTTCAATAAATTAATTAATCTTTAGTACTCAATATTGATTAATATCATAAAATATATTATTATTTAAAGAAATTTGAGAATTCAGTAATAAACTTTGGATCATAAATGAAAATATTATGGAATTATATAATTCTGCTGATTAAATTAGCGGCTTTGGGTCACCCGGATCACTCACATTAAATCGGTTTGATCCAGTTCCAGATTTGACAACCCGGATACCCAATTGCCTTAATAAAAAAAAAGCAGATTTCTGATGTACGATGATTTTAAGAAAATTCAAATTAGTTAAAATCAATTGAATTGTTTATATAAATATTAAATGAGTTTTAATTTGTTTAAATTTTAAATTATGGAAGACATTTATGGGTATATATTCTATAGACATTCCAGAATTTGTTTTATTTAGCTTTCAACTATGAATGATAGACCTTCACTTTCAGACAATGGTAATATAATTGTCTAGTAATAAAGCTCACCACAAATTTTTTTTTTTTGATGAAAGCAATAACATGTCACAATGAAGGCTAAGTTAAATAAACTTATGACCCGAAATAAGACGGTTACAATCTATGATAAATGGTAAAAAAAATATATTTTTTTTTATTGTAATTATTGTTTCTTATACATGATTTCGACAAATGATAAATTAGTGGGTTTATGATTTTTATTGCCTCAATATAAACAAATAAAAATTTTGGATAGAAAAATTTGGATAAATACAAATATAAATATTAATTGATTGTCTCTTATTTGAAATTTCCATCATGAGAAGACGTTATTTTATTTAAACTAATATTTTTAATTTAATAAAATAATACGACACTAATATCATATATACCAATGGAATTAAAGTCTCTACTTTACACAACTCATATATATAAAAGAAAATAGATGAAATGGATAAAATGATTTGTTCCATCAACATCGAATAACCACGTAAAAAATTTAGTGTTTTCTAATCTTGATTACTCTAACTGAATCTTGTAAAAATCTAAATACATTTAATTCAATATATATTAGAATAAATTTACTTAAAAAGGCAAAATTCAAAAAATTTTAAATTGACTAACTGCTTAAACTTTGCCCAATGTAAATTCATAAAGTATGATATGTGTAAACTTGTGTCGTTTAAATAATTTTATCCATCTTCATGCTTTTTTTGTCACCTGGTCGAGCTTGATTGTGAGATAATTGCATCAAAACTCGTAAATTGTGAGCATTGCTGTAGCGAGAGCTTCTTTTGGAATTTCTAAGTAACTGAAACTCTCTATCAGCATTCTTAATCATCAGCTATGAGATAGAAATTGGAATAATTAAAAATCAATTCTGTACTCAATAATAACACAGATTAATGACCTTAAGACTCACAGCCCATGTTACCACAGCACGATACAGAAAGGGAAATAAACGAACGCCAGTAAGATCTGTGGGTACTTCACAGGTCTCAATTTCGAAAATTCGGTATCGGCCTAATAAAAAGATTTGTCAAAATTTACATGTATCTAAAATGCTGCAGTATATTGATATACATACCCAAATAATCCATGAAGTAGAATCGTAAACTCAACTCAAAACTGTGTACCATAAATCCTCGAAAATACACTGGTAATGCTCGTTTTAATTTCACTTCTTGAGTTATGACAAAATTAATAATATCTTTTCCAGCCCTCGCATTTTGAAGAAAGTCTGCCATTTCTTTTCCATTTTCTGTGTTATATGGTTTACTTCCTTCTATTACGCATATCTCATATGGTTTTTCATTGGATGTATAGACAATCCCATCAGACCGGTCTGCATTACCCTTTTGATTTGTGACAGATTTTCTATACGCTGATGCTTCTATGGCTTTATTGCCACTACAAGAGTGTAAGAGCAATCACTATAATTAGTTACGACATCATAGAGTAACAAAGAAAGAGTACTTACGGGACATAACGAATATTTGAAAACCGTGCAAGCGCCTTTTTTAGAATCGGATGGATATAATTATTCATGTATTCATCTTCTTCCATTTCTTGATTTTTTAATGGGTTCTCGGCATTCATTGCATATGAATCAAAGCTATAAATGTTTTAAAATCATGTCACAAAAAACATCATGAAAACAAAGAATGTACTTACAATATTGGAAGCGTCTCAAACATAAACCTTTTTAATTGTTTGAAAAATTGATCTGTTTCAGGATTTATTAAGGTTTCAATTTTGTCTTGCCATTGCTGGTCATTTAATTTCTGTAAACAAAACAGAAAGCAGTAATTGTTGTGAGTAACAAGCATTAAAACTCTAATAAAAAAGACGATAATACCTCGGCAAAGAACTCAACAAGAAACTCAAAAGCTTCCTCTGGAAAAAGTTGGTCAATAGGATCAAAAACATCTTTGAGGAGTTTGGAATAGTCAGCTTCATCGGTAAACTTCAGAACAAATTCTGACGATGGCCTCAGATCCATGATGTCATCTGCTGTCAGTATGTTGTTAGCATGATCACAATACGTTTGAAAATTTCTTAGTAAATTAAGCATTTCTTCTGAGCAATATTTAGATTCATCGAGAAGATTTTTTGCTTCAATGCGAGATCTCTATAAATAGGTAGTGTCAGGAAATTCGCTCATGTAATTTATCAATTTAGGCTGATATTTCCTTACCTTATTTGCTGCATCTGAAGCCGAGGTCATATCTAAATCATCATGTCCATGCTTTAGGGTATCTATTCAAATTCCAACAGACTTCATTAGGCAAAAAAATAGGTTACTTATTAGCCAAAAGAAAATCTTACATACATCCTGAATTCTTTTCAAGTCTTGAATTGGATGAGGTGAGTGTTTCGTGGATAACTACATCATTATTATCACTATCTTCTTTCGTATTATCGTCGCTAATGTTCTCCTTGTCTTCGTTTAAACCACTTCTCAAAAACTGAATACATAAATATTTAGAATGTACTGTTTCAAACAAATTTAGGGATATGTTTTGAATATGTGGTGACAATACATACTGTCTCGTAACTCTTACTGCACATTTCTATTTTTGTTGACTTGTCAGTGATAACACTAAATTCAACGCTTTTGTCATACATTTCCTATGGCAATCAATCAGTTAGCACAATGAAAAAAATAATTGGAAACTGACTTATTTGACTAACCCGAGCATTTTTTATATCTTGATCTTTAAGAATTTTTTTAATTTCTGGCCGTTCTAGTGTTAATGTTATATTACTGCAAAGCTTCTGTGCCTTTCTTTGTACTGATTTGTAGAAAGCACAGCTTGTAGATCGATTTTGCATATGCTGACAAAATGCTTCTTTGATTTCTGGTAGATTTGCACTTGTGTAGTTGACATTTTCTGCTAAATACTTCAAGGTTCCTGCAAAACTCCACATACTATAATCAGTAATTTCTAGGTACTTCAAGATAAGAACATCGAATAACATTTCTGTGATAGAATAATGAAAGTATCAAATCAGTATAGTTAAAAAAAAAAAATCTGGCTTGACATAACACTTCTGGTAGAGAAAACAAAGGAATTGGCTACTAAGAGGAAGTTTATTATGAACTACGTCAAAGAGGGTCATCCTCTGAATTTCTCTACCAAACATCAATCGCAGGGGTCGCTAAGAACTGAGAAAACTTAGCTCGGCACATACGAGTGTAGGAAGAATTATGTCCAATATACTAGACACAAGACCAAAGGTGTCGGCTCTAGAAGGAATCCATCATGAATACCTCAAAGAGGGTACTTCCTTTTAACCTTGCTCTACACAACAGCCGCAGGGGTTGCTAAGAACTAATCATAGCTCGGCCATACACGGGTGTCGGATATTGTGAGTTGCCAGATGTGCGTGTGTATATATACATGTATTAATACTTTCCTTAATCAATTTCCTCACGAGCAAATACAGATGCAGAAAAAAAATATGATGGTATAAAATTATGCGAACCGACTGAAAATAAATGTATCCAATCATTTTTGATTGATCGGATCAAAAAAATTAGTCTGCACGCGTCCAAAGTCGCAAAAATCGCGATTATAATTCCGGCTGAAATCAACATAATTTCAGAGTAAAAACCCGTGGATCAAAATTTTGATCATGTGATCGACTAAATCACCCAATCAAGTTTGAATGTCGTCAATCAACAAATCCTGGATACCCTACGATAGATTAAATTATTATAATTTTTAGGGATCTTCAATAAAATATGCTTAACCGAGCATAAACAAATTTAATATGAGTTCTTAAGCTTTATTAATTTGAGCTTCAATTATGCTTCAAAGAGTATATATAGTCTAATTCAATGCGCGTTTATTTAAGCGCGTTTGATTAAAATAGCTTCTTTATCAGATTTTTTAATAATTCGCAAGTGATAATAATGCAAACCTTAAGAAATAATTTAACAAATGACAATATTATATTAAATGAGAATATATTAAACGTCTTAATGACTGTATATGTAATTTGATATATTTTATGTCTCCTTAAACATATTATTCTAATTTTAGATTGTCGATCTTTTTTGAAAAAGAAAGTTTTATATGAATATTTCAATAATTTATTATACATTTATGTTCAAAAAATTAGATTATCATATAGTTAAGCATATTCAGCATATATAAAATCATAAAAAAAAAATTTTGACAAAAGGCTTGGAGGAGCATTTTGCTAGTCCATAACCCATATGAGAAAATAACAAAAAATTGATCCTATTTGGAACTTTTATTGATGAAATTGATAATAAATAGTATTGTAAACTTTATCATAAAGAGTATTCAAAAGAAACAGGTATTGCTACAATCAAAGGATATTTTAAATATGATTACACAAATACAGGATTTATATAAATCAATCCTATTAAATCTTATAGTAAAAAAGACGAAGAAAAGTTGCATATTTAATAAAACTTCTTAAATAATGAATAATCACAGACTAATAAGTATTTTCAATTGTTGAAAATGCAGATTTTTATGTATTTATTGTAGCATTAGATCAACAGTTTCTAATTTCTTATAAAACAAGCAATTTTTGAAAGCATTTTAGATTTATATGATTATTAAAAGAAAATGTTTTATACTTATATGATCAAATGCAAAACTGATATATAGACTTTGTGCACAAACTTAGAATATCTTGCTATTACTCTTTTTTTAGATTACAGAAAACTGGAACTCTTCAAAAATTCTATTAGATATGATTTCACTTCATGAACAGCACACTAAAAGTTATATTGCTCAAAAAATATTTGAAATGATCAAATATTATGGAATTAGTAAAATTAATGCAAGAATATTGTAATAATAGGTAATGCATAAAGTATTATTGTATTTAGAAATATATTAAATGAATTATTTTAAACTAATTATAGCAATCTTGAATTTAAACAATTTTTGCTATATAGCTTATATGTTAAATCTTGCAGTTAATATTAGTATGTAAGTTATTAGTAAATCAATTATAAAGTTATGTAACTTTTCTAGTCATATTTATCAATTACAACCTATTCTTATAGTTAGTTTTTTTATATTGCTTAAATGTTATAAGTGAATAGATATTATAGGTGGTAATTGAGATAGGATAAAGTATAAGTATCAACTGTTTATTTGATATGTGATAACAAATAAGTACTATCTCAATGTTAGCGTTTCTGTATTGTATAAATATTTAATAGATCAAACTAAACTATTTAATAACTTAATTAAACTTATTCTAACTAAATTGTATTGACTATTCTAACTATTAAATACTAAAGATTTTCAGCTATATTTATATAAAATGAAATATATATATTTGTCAACTAATTTAAATAAATAAATAAATATAATAGATAAACTAAATAAAATAAATAAACTAAATAAATTATGTAAACTATGTAAATGTGATAAATAATATTGATATAATTTAATGATTTATATTAAAAAGATTATCTAAATGATTTTTCGTATAATAATAGCTTGATGCATGAGATAGTCTTTGTAAAGGAGGTTTGTTATCATATTTTTTAACTATATTGAATAAAAATAAAAGCCTTTTTACTTTTAATATATGTATTTGTTTGTTAGATAATCGTAACAACTCGTAATATAAACAAACAAAGCAAAATTATGATAGAGCTTTCTTGGTATTTTGAATATAGAATATTCTTATCATCTCTTGTCTAGATTCTTCATAAAAATAGCATTTATTATGTGACACCTAAACTAATTTTTTTCTCCCAGCTTAAACTGGAATTCTGAAACTATATCTATTATATACTATCCACATTTTTCATTAACCTTTGATATTCAAATATTTTTTTCAATCATTCCTTTCTGTATTTTACTACATCAGATTACTTATACCTATCATAATAAACACCTTATTTTTTATCTCCATAAATACATATAGTTTTGGTATATAAGGTGAGTGCTGGGAAAATGAACCAAATTGATTTTTTTTTTAAAAAAAAGTTTCTAAGTAAAATAGATGTAAATTTGATCATCTGATTCAGATCATTTGTTATTTCAAAAAAAAAATTTTTTGTTGATTTGGTCTTTTTTTCCAGCACTCACCACATATTTTCTTAGAAATTGTGTTTTTCTTGATATAGTCTGTTAACTTAGAAAATACCATTTCTTCAATATACACTTTCAGATTTCTAGGAATATGTGACTCTGGTTTTTGTTATTATAACTATTCTTAACATTCTTCCTTAAAATTCTCATCATATAGAAAACTTTCTAGTTTCATATGTTTTTCTTAATAATAAACAAGAAACTCTCCTATTTTTATAAAATAATTTCCTCATTTTCAAATATATTTTGCAATATAATCACCTTTGTATTATACAGTTTGTGCAATTTGATTACTAGTATCCATTTTATTTAAACTATCTAATAATAACTATATATATCTGTGTATACTTAGATGATAAAAATAGTTATAGATAAAAACATTTTTAATCATTTTTACATTTTTGTTACTATGCATTGTTGATTTATTTTATATGACGTATTTGTAGATTTCTTGTAATCTTTTCAAAAATTCAGTATAATTTCAAAAAATAAAAATAGAGATGGAGATTAAAATTACAGTTTTAATGATTGAGGTAAAGGCATACTGGTTGATTTTTCAGTGCTTTTAAATAATATATTAAAATTTATTATTTCTTTTGCATTATGTATTAACTTTTTCTTTTTTTTGTTTCTTCAGATTGTAATTCTTGATATTTCATTATATGCTACTCTGATACTACCCATAGCTATCTTATGATGACAAAGAACTTTGGTAATAAGCTTTTTTCCCACTTTCTCAAATTCTTTCAAACTTCTTTTGTCTAATCATTATATATCTTATTTTTTATCTGATCTTCAACAATTCTACCCTCTATTTACTTATTAATATTCTCATTATCCATCTATTTTTCACCTTCTATCTCAGTTTTTAGATATATAATATTCTTTTTTTCTAGATATTTTGCTAGTCTGCAGTTGCCTTTTTGCTTTATGTTGTAACAGTGTAAAATTTTGGCTAAAATCTGCTTACAAATCCAATGTCAATTAAATATTCTTGTTTATTATCTCATCGATCCTGATATCAACTTTATGTTCTAAGATAATTAATGTAGAAATATTATAGATCCAAATGTCAATTTTATATTTAGTGTAACAGGCAACTTTATTGACATGATCATCCTTACTGATCAATTTTGTCAACTCTATTTTCTAGACAATGTCATTTTATTTTTTATAGATATTTAGTTTAGTTTATTTTATAATTATTAAACATGTATAAATATTATTGTATTTCTATTAACTTTCAATATCTTACGAAGTAGAGAACTTATAATTTATTATATTATTAATAAAGCGTATAATTAATCAAGTTAAAACTTATCCTTCACAACCTTTTAACCTGTGTATATATTATTATTATTTATTAACTTTGCGTAGTATTGTATTAATTTGTTGTATTAACTTAATATGTTATTACTGAAATGTAATCTCTGAAATATCCAAAAGTTACTCATGTGTAATTAAGAATAATCTTGACGTTTACTATGAATCTTTATTGTGATTCTCTGAGTTTAGTCTTAGTATTATTAATATTTATGAATTTTATTTGAGTTACAAAGCGAACATAACATTTTAATGCTTCTTATAAGAAATGGAAATAACTATCAGCATATTTATATAAGTATTCAAGAATTACATTGATTAGAATGAAACATCAACTGTATAACAAACCACTTGAATGAAATTGACATTGAAATTTCTTTAGTTACTGAATACTATCAATAACAATTAAATGTTTTCATTAAACTTCTCAGTTATATTTAGATCTATCCTGACTATACATGAAGTCAAAATGAAAACCCAAAAAGTCAAAATGTTTCGACTTTATGAGGTCAAAGTCAAAATGAAAAGTAGAAATGATCGAAATTACATCATATCAAATGATTT